CCTGGCGGCGTCCAGAACCTCACCCTCCCCTACGAGACGACCGTAGAGGGCGACTTTGACGTCTTCGTACCGATCCAGTCCAACGGCCTCCTCCCCGGCAACGAGACCAACAACGTCCAGCGCCTGAACGTCTACACCAACGGCACCATGAGCGGCAATGCCACTGCCTTCCTTGTGCCATCTGAGGGTATCACCTTCATCTCCGACATTGACGACATCCTGCGTGTAACCAAGATCTACGACCCCAAGGAAGGCCTTCTAAACTCCTTTGCCCGTCCCTTCACCCCCTGGATGAACATGCCCGAGATCTACGCAAACTGGTCGCAGACCCTACCCAACAACACGCACTTCCACTATCTGACCACCACCCCCGAGCAGGCCACCCGTCTCTACATGGACTTCATCTACAAGACCTACCCCGGTGGCTCTTTCGACACGCGCCCGCTCAACTTTTCAGACGTATCCGCTACCCTCTCCATCCGCATGTTCCTCCTCCAGAAAGTCTTTGCCACCTTCCCTCAGCGCAAATTCGTCCTCGTGGCCGACACTTCAAACAGCGACGTCATGAAGGACTACCCCCAGCTCGCTCACGACTTCCCGAACCAAGTCCAATGTATCTTCCTCCGCAATACCTCTGCCACCGACGACACCATGTGGTTCCCGTACAACACCGAGGGCTTCAAGGGTCTGAACAACAGGAGCTACATGTTCTTCCGTGAGCCAAATGATTTGGCTGGACTGGATATCGTCAACGGACAGTGCTTGAATGAGACGATCCAGCAGAATGTTACTTTCTCAAGGCAGGCGGAGATTTTAGGAATTCATGGCGATAGTGCGGGTGGCAAGTTGAACAGTGGGGCTACGATTGGCTTCGTGGTTGCGCTTTTCGCTGCTGTTGCGTTGTCGTTGTAGAGGGGATGGATATAGCTAGGCTGGGATGAATGTATACGAGATACGTTGTTTGCTTGTTTCTCTATTTTTTTTTCCTCATTAACATTGAGTTTTGGCATAGCGGCATGATCTGCTTTTTGGTTTGGGTCTTCTTGTTCATAGTCATTTTTATCATGGGTACAATTATCAGATTGTCACGATTGAATTCCACGTTCTATGTGTATGTATGAGCATGTGCTATTGGGCTGGTGAAGAACAAGGACGACCACGATGATGATGAACCTATGGACTCGTGATGCGAGTGTTGTGCTTCAACACTGTCTTATTTCTGACATTGCTGATCCTTCTTATCCTTGCCACGCCTGCTACCATGAAACCAACACACCTTGTTCTCCACGTCGTCGTTCCGGTGGGTAAGCTTCCGTCGGTCACCATATCTGCATTGTGGTATATTATTCCTTCCAGTGGCTGCCATCTTACAGCTGACAGTCTGAGTTCCTTTCTCCTTCTCTGGCTGTTTGATTGGTGGGTGGCGGTCTTTATTCTGATATGATTTTGAATGTTGAGTCGGTGTAAACTTATCGGTGCGTAAGACATCCGGGAAGCCATCGCTTCGAGAGGGATAGTAGGGACGCTTTAGGGATGAGAGTGAAGGAGAGTGGGAGATTTCGGAATCATCTGAGCTGTATAATTCAGATATACAGTTGCGCTCATGGAAGACTAGGTGCTGATTTGAATCGTCGGCCGCTATAGCTGAGTCACGACGGTCAGTCTTCTGATCCATGTTTCTAGTTTAGCAACGGGAGTTATAGCTGTGATTACGCGCCTGGGTAGGCTGGGCACTGATGTTGGATGGTGGGTTTAATTACTTCTTCCAATGGAGGGCTGCAAGGGCTACCTAAGTATGTATGGTCTCGCAAACGAAGCTCAAAGACACTGGGTCAACAAACAAGTGACCATGAGTGATACATTGCAATGGATATCTCTAGACGTCTCAAGATGTTTTGAGTTCATACCCGAATGTCTTGAGACACCCCATCAGATACGATGTCAATATCTCATACGCACAGCCGTAAGTCCTGAACGAACCACCTGATAGCCATCTCAAACGCTCATACTCTCCTCAAACCTTCTAGCAATCTCCAGCATCTCCGCATCAAGTCTCGAGCCACTCAAAAATGTTACGCTAAATGGCAACACACCACCATCCTCCTCCTTCCCACTCAGTTCCTTAACAGGATATGTCCCCGCCGGAACAGCCACACCACACAAATCCAGCACATTCCCACAATGCGTGAACTCGCCCAAGATACTATTCTTCTTGATCGGATCCGCCAGCACCTCGTCTATCTTCCAGTGCGTAGGCGTCGTTGGTACAATCACTACGTCAACGCCAGAAGCGGAGTATGCGAAAACTTTTTCTGCTTGGCGGGTATAGAGAGCTTGCGCTTGTAGGTCGCGGTATACATCTACGGCCGAGCTCTTCCGCGCAACAACAGCGTCCATGAGCTGCGCGGTTACAGGATGTAGTGCTGAGCGGTTCTTCTTGAGGAAGTCATCTGGCAGAGAGGCTAGGCGTTCGGAAACGAAAGTGCCGTCGTAGAGGAGTTGACCCGCCTTTTGAAAGGGCGACCAGTCGATTGGAGTGAGGAGGCCGCCGATTGCTTGTAGTTTCGATACTGTCTCGTTGATCATGCGCCGAGCTGGTGTTGAGCAGATGGCGAGTGCTTCGGGTGGTGGGATGCCGAATTTGAATGTGCGCGATTGGGGTCCGATGCTGTTTACGTGGCGTTCGAATGTTATCTCGGGTTTCGCGTAGGGGTCGAGTGGGTCGTGGCCTTCGAGGATTTGCCAGAGAGTTCGCGCATCGAATATGGTTTTGGTGGAGAGTGCGATGCAGTCTAGTGACAGACATGCCGGCGTGATGCCTCGGAAGGAGATTGTTCCTCGTGTGGGCTTGTATCCGACGATGCCGTTGAAACCAGCAGGTACTCTCCCTGACCCAGCTGTATCCGTTGCTAGGGAGAATGAGACGAGGTTAGCTCCTACTGATACTGTGCTGCCGCTGCTTGAACCGCCGCTGATGTAGTCTTCATGGTAGACTGAATGAGTGATACCGTATGGACTGCGACAGCCTACAAGTCCGGTAGCGAGTTGATCTAAGTTGGCCTTTCCGATAAACAAAGCACCTGCGGCGATGACCTTCTCGTACACAGGAGCAGACGATGAAGGTACATGAGCAAGTGGCGGACATGCAGTTGTGGTAGGAAGACCGGCGATATCGATACTGTCTTTGACGCTGAACGGAACGCCAAATAGAGGTGGAAGAGCGTTTCGATCAGGAAAAGTCGATATCAACTGTCTTGCGGCGTCTAGAGTCACTACGCGTGGCGGCAGGTGTATCCATACTGCCGGATCTATCTTCTTGTACGCTTCGATCTTGTCGTAGACCGCGTCAACGACTGTTAGGGGCGAAAGACCGTTCTTATACGCTCGCTGTAGAGCGGGTATCGTGAGATCGCCGTCGAATATCGGCGGTGTTTGAGGAGGCGTTGAATTGGCTTCGACTCTCTTGCTTGATACTGGTGCGAGGGCGTCTAGTAAAGGATCCAAGCTACCAATGTATCCGAACAGGCCTTGCGACCAATGTATCATATCCAAAGTCGACTTCTTGAAGCAAGCGTCATTGTATCCGCTGGTGGCCTCTTCAATACCACAGCATTCGAAGCCCCGATCGTTCGCTTCCCGGATGGTAGTAGCAAAGCAGCATTCCGTAGTGACACCAGAGACGATGAGATGTGTGATGGCTCTCGCCTTGAGTTGATGCAAAATGGTTGTATTCCAGAACGAGCCTTTGCCTGGTTTATCGATGACAACCTCTCCAGGTAACGGCTTCAGCTCTTCGATAATATCATGTCCGTATTCTCCACGGGTAAGTAGGCGACCCAGCTCTCCCTTGTCACCTATGACTAGTTTGTGTTGGGTGTTGCCTGGTGCAGCTTCTTGTCTGATCAACTTTGATGATGGGCAGTCGGAGAGGTCTGGTTTATGGCCTTCGCGAGTGTGGAATACAGCCAGGCCGGCGCTCCGGCACGCTTCCAACAATTTCTTAGTTGGAGCAATCGAAGCTTGAACAGCTTCTAGGTTTCCTCCTTGGATTTCGCCGAAACCTTTGGTGAGCAGGAAATCGCGCTGCATGTCGATTATGAGCAACGCAGTATGTTCCAAAGGGAAGGAAAACGCGTATGGCTTCGCGTCAAAGGAGAGCATCGTGGTATTGAGAGGCATGTCTGCCGTCGTTCGCAATAGCGTAAGGCTACAAAGACGCGATGGTTGAAAGGCTGTGCGTATGCTAAACTTGCCTGATCTCTTCGAGCTCAAGTAGGAAAGAAAGATATACAGAAACCCAGGAGAGAAGGTCGGCACTCCATACCGGCGTCCGATATCGAACTCATCAGATGAACGTGGGGAGTCCAAGACTGGCCGCGAACGGAATAACGGAATATGCAACGAGCCTACGGCCCGAATTTGGGCGACGGCTATCGAAAAGGCACTAGTAAAAAACAGCCTAGCGTGCCTCACCGATAAGAAGCCTCCGCTCTGCCCAGCGGCTGACATTTATTGATGCCTGTCTACATATCAAGATTGGAGTACTGCCCTCCTCGATAGTTATGCCAAACCTTTCCCGTCTCCGCATTCACCCCGCCGCGCCAACGGCGAACACCTCCGAGATAGGAACTGATATGGTTATCAAGCTGGGGGCAATCATGGTACAGCTATGTAGCTGTCGCGATTCAGCAATCGAGACTGTGGAGCTTCATAAAGGCCGAATGTAGCTCTGTTCAAATGAACTCCAGTGCATTCATTGTATTGTGTTACTTCTGACCATGTCTGTGCTTAAAGCAAGGCTTGCACCTCATCTTCATCTGAGGGTACCCTTTGAGAGCGGTAAATATGGGTCGCGCTGGTCAAACAAAGGTGTGTAGTTGATGGCACGTGTATGGATCGGAGCCAGGCTAATCCTCAGGTCAACAATAGATCTTGATCCGGTTCCTCCTCAACAGCGTACCTGGGGTGGGCTTGACTACTGGGCGTACTGGTGCTCGGATATGCTCGCCCCTCCTTTGGCGTCCACCGTCAGCAGTGTCATGGCGCTGGGTTTTACGGCTAGAGAAACGATACCCATCGTCTTCTTCGGGTTCGCCATCTGCAGTGTGGTCATAACGCTCACTGGGAAGATGGGCGCCACGTACGCCGTATCATTCCCCGTTGTCATCCGAAGTGTCTTCGGCATGTATGGCTCGTTTCCAGCGATCTGCATTCGAGCCTTCGTTGCGATGATGTGGGCTGCTATTCTCACAGTGCAGGCAAGCAACTTCCTGCAACGTTGCCTTGAGGCGATTTGGCCAGGCTTTATCACTTTTCCGAATCATTTGCCTGAGAGCGCTGGTATAGACTGTATGCCTCATCCATCTCTATATATCCATGCGTGTTGCTGACAGTCTCGTAGCGGCTGGCTTGCTGTGCTTGTTCTTATACTGGTTTCTCCAGACCGCGCTCGCCGTTATGCCGATCTCGAAGTTGCGCGTTCTCTTTTGGATCAAGGGCATCGTCGTGCCGCCAACGTTCTTCGCATTGTTCCTTTGGGCCGTGATTGTGACCAAGGGGTGAGTGCTTCTGAGCATAATGCACCTTTAGATAGCGCTGACTTCATACCCAGTGGTGGTCCGCTCATTAAGGGAAAAGTGGAGCTTACCTCAACTTACATGACCACCACCTACTCAGTCCTTACTGGACTCAATGCCGTCGTTGGACTCTTCTCGTCCCTAGCCGTCAACATGCCAGACTTCGGCAGGTTCTCCAAGAATCAACTCGCGGGTTACCACCAGTTCCTCGCCTTACCCATCATTGGAACATTAGGAGCGCTGACACCCATCTTCGTCACCGATGCTCATTCCTATATATGGGGCGACTTTGAGTGGTATATGCCAGACGTTATCGCCAAATTCGACTCCAGAGCTGCGAAATTCTTTGTATCTGCCAGCTTCCTCCTTGCCACCATCGGAAACCAAATTGCAGCAGATACGTATCCGTTCGCAAATGATGTTGCTGGTATGCTACCAAAATACATCAACGTCTTCCGAGCTACCATCATCATCTCCGTCTTTTGCATTGTATCCACTCCATGGAATATCATAAAGAATGCGTCTGGCTTGCTCTCGTTCCTGAGTGGCTACTCATGTCTCATGGGTCCTCTCGCAGGTACCATGGTCAGCGACTATTACCTCGTGAAGAAGGGCAAGCTCGATGTGGATCAGCTATATACCGACCGTGGCATTTATTGGTACAACCGCGGTTGGAACTGGAGAGCATATGTGTCATTCGTTATGGGATTTGCTCCCCTTCTCCCTGGCTTTGCGAAGAGTATCGACAATACTCTAGATATCGGTGGCGCATGGAAAGTATACACATTCGCGTGGATCTTTGGGTTCTGCCTTTCGCTAGTAACGCACTACATCATCTGCATGTATATTTCGCCAGCAACAGGGTCGTTGGTAGAAAGTGCGGTGTATCCGCCGCAAAAGGAGGCGATTGCGCCAATCCTGGAAGGTGAAGAACCGTTGAATGAGGAGACACTTGTGTCCAAGGAGAAGGGAGTAGCTGACATGGCTTAAGTGATGCCGTGTTAGAAGTTTCAATAAAGACCAATTCATATCTGCTTCTGCCTTTTCGTGTATGACGTCGTGGATGAGTAGCAAAGTGGGAAGACGCAACTGCCTCGTTGGTATTTGAGATCTGGTGTTCTCTTAGTGATGCCGCTGATTAATTTCCGCTTGGTCAGTGCTCTCTCGCGCTAGACCTCGGCTGCCTCTTGTTCAGCTTGACTCTTCACCCTCCCTGCCGGTACCTCAGCGCCCATCGCATCCACATCATAGGTGACTTCCCAGTGGAGCTAGCAGCTACGTCCAACATGCATCAAGCCAGGGCCGTAGTGTGATGCATTGGATCTATGGAGAGAACACCCTGGCCAGCCACTTTACGAAGTAGTCACGCGGACGCGTCTCCAGGACCGCGACTCCAATCACAACGACTTGGCGTCATCCGTCTGTTGTCGAGACGGACGAACACTGCATGCTGAGATGCAAGCATGAACTTCATGCCTGTTGAGAACTCGCCGCCAAACCACTTCCCACGTGTAACCAACGCCCAGACTACCAAGTCCAAATCGCGCCGCCCATGTGATCCGTGCCGTCGACGAAAGTCACGGTGCGAAATATCAGAAAGCGGACCACCATGTGTTCTTTGTCAGTTCCATAACCAGGAATGCACCTTCAACGAAAATCCGCAACCGCGGAAACGGCGCGCTGTCGCTATCAACGAGGGCTCTGAGCCCATTGGGACCATTCGCGGCCAGCTACCTCTTGCAAACGATTATGGAATTAGCACTGCGGCTTCTACATCTCCTCAAGAGACTGCAGCCAGGATCCGACAGGATCCGCCAATCGATGACTATGCAAATCTACGCGGGCCTTCGCTCCTAAAGAAAACGCTCGGCCTGCAGACTAACAGGCACAGTCGTTTTGTCGGTTCTACTTCCGAGTACGAACGTCTGTTGTTGGCACTCGAGCCACTTCAATCGATTGATGGCGTTGATTCTTTGGTTGGCCATCCAATATTAAGAAAAGTTGATGATACCGACCCAACAATATTCGTCTTATCACCTGATGCCGGCACGCTCAACAGCCATAGTGACATTCCAGATCTTGACGCTATCGAGATGGCCGTAGCACCACATGGCTCCGCGTTGATACGTCTCTTCTTTAGAATCGTACATCCCAGCTTCCCAATCTTGCACAAGAAAGTGTTCTTAGAGAAGTATGAGCGAACCCACCGAGAGTTCTCGCCCCCGCTTCTGGCAGCAGTGTATCTCCTGGCACTGAACTGGTGGTCGTATTCCAGTGAGTTGGCATTGCAACTCAAACCGAATGTTTCGCATCTAGAAGGATTAGCAATGAAGTCGTTCAGCAATATTGTCCATAGGCCTAAACTTTCGACTATACAGGCAGGCTTATTGCTTCTCCAGCGACCAGAGGGTAACAGTTGGGCGCTGACATGCCAGCTCGTCGGTCTCGGGCAGGACATGGGTCTCCAACTCGACTGTACGAACTGGCACATACCGGATTGGGAGCGTGGTCTGCGCAAGCGTCTGGCCTGGGCCATATTTATGCAGGACAAATGGGGTTCTCTTATACACGGTCGCCCCTCACACGTCACACCAACAGACTGGGATGTGCAGCCCCTGACTGAAGACGACTTTCCAGAGAACGCCGCCGATGAGGATGACGAAGACGGAAGTACCGAGGTGGAAAAAGGACGAATCATGTTTTGTTACATGGTAGAACTCACACAGATTCTGGCACAGATCCTATCGACTTTCTACACTCTGAAGGCTGAGCGCGACTTCGCCAGCCGTACCCAGGAAGGCGTTAGATCGCTACTTGAAGCAGCCAAGCCTTTACAGCTTACATTACGTCAATGGTACGCCAACATGCCGTCTGCGCTCAAGATGCAGGATATAGCTCCAAGGAAGCTATCTAGCGTCGGTTACCTCCACCTTGGCTACTACGCAGTTGAAATGACCTTGCACCGACGTATCATTCGCTCATTGTCTCCATCAGACGGTCCGGAAATCCGCGCTATATGCCGTCAGGCTGCACAAAGCCGACTCACATCTGCTTTCGCCTTCGTTCAATCGCTCCGACCAGAACATCTCCAATCCTTTTGGTACTCATCATCCACATACAACTTCGTACTCATCGGCTCTTTCATCTCGCTTCTGTGGGTGACATCTCCCGATAGAGAAGAAGCAGTGAAATATCGAGCCCATCTGGATGAATATAGATGGATCATACGTCTCTCTAGCAAATCGGCCGACTTCCTCGAGAGAGCGCTAATATCATTAGATCTAACTTCAAGTACGCTGATGAAGGCCGTTCCTGATGACAATGTTCCGTCTTCGGTCGCGAACGGTCATCAGAGCAGAATAGGCAACGAAACACATTACGGTGCTGATGCGGGACGCTCCCAAAACTCTAGATCCGTACCGAATGGCTCGAATTCGCCAGTCGCAAATCTCGGTCAAGGAATAAGCGAACCACTACTAGGGGATGATGGATTGGCTGAACATTCGTGGTTTAGTGCAGTAGATGAGAGCAACTTCGATGGCGGTTACAGTACTCATGGCGCCGCTCTGCCTGGGCAGCCGGATATGACATAAGGCGCGATCATGCAGTATCATTGACGTTATGACTTCTCAATCGTTGTCACAAACCTCGACGCTGAGCCTAGAATTACGCAAACTCATATTGCCGTTCCTGTTTCATCATGTCAATTGCGCTTTTGGTTGGTCTTGGCTCTGCACCCTGCAAGTCAGCACATACGAGGCCAAACGACAGGGATTGTATGGATGAAGGCCACGCTCCAATGCGGGGAAGAATAGTCGTATAAGTCCTTTTACACGAGTTCACCACATTTCAGCAAGTATTTACCCAGGCAAGTCCTGAATTATGTATCTTCGCCAAATCGCAGTCAGAAGCTCCGATCTTACACACAAGCGAAAAGCGATAAAGGACGAGAGCTAGCCTTTGCCACTTGGTCGTTGCAAAGATGGAGAAACGAGCTGCGGCATCATGCTTGATGAAAACAGAACTACAGCGCATTCCATAATGCTGCCTAAAAGCACTTCTCTCTGCGTCGTTTCGAGTGTAATGGATGCTTTCTATGGAAAGCTGAAAAACACCATGTCGCGCATGCGTTACAAGATTCACCGGAATACAAGAAGCAAGTAAGCTACCAACAAGTGCTATACCTTCGAAGCGATCATTAGGCTAGGGAGCGGGAACTGGCGGCCCGACCCCAAGCTACGACAGGGCTCTATGTACGTCTAGCCTACACCCTTGGAGTTAATGTCATTCCTATATAGACCCAGACTTCCGTATCTGAGCGGCTCGGCCCATGATCTGAATACACACAGATCGGATCTTGATGTCTCACATCCGTCTTGAATTTACGCCCGATTTACGCCCGATATTTATCGCAAGGGTCTAGCCGTATACATTCACCCGAGGCTGTATCGTTTAAGAGAAGGATCTGAGACTATGCAGTTGCAATATGAGTTTGTTGTTGGCCAAGAAGAGATCGATGTATGACCGGTCGAATGAATGAGCTGCTTTACGCCGACGGCGCTGCTTCTACACGCATGTTTGAGGGTAGTGCTGGGAACTAGATCCTTTGCAATCAAGTATACTGACTTCGTCTGAAACTTTCAATGAAGCTTGACCAACATTGCCAATTCAAGATGAGGGGAAAAGACGCGGTGGCACTATCATTCGTGGTTGCTGTCGTCGAGTTGGCGTATAAGAAGGGCTTCGTGCTCGTCGTTAAAAGTCGTCAAGCAATCAGTTAACGGTACTCTCTTCTCTTCAAAGGATTATCACTGCTTCTTATTCATACCACCTCATCCCAGTCCAACCCAACCATGACTCTGTCCAAAGCCATCACTATCGGTCTCGCTACCCTCCTCGCTGTTCCGGTGGTTACCGCTGGCAGTTTCGACTCTTGCACTGCTGTGTCCTACAACACCTTCAACAGCACCAGCGTGCAGGACAAGTATCCTCAGTTTGGCCCAAAAGGCCTGTACTCTTCCTCCACCACTGGACAATGCATTTACGTCGACGCAACTGCAAATGGGGATTTTGCCACTACCAACCCAGCTGATTATCACGGCTTTATTGCCAACACACATGCACTTCTGAGCAAGATACCTGAGGCTGCAGCTGGCCTTGAGTACCTTTCTGCTGCGCCTGTGCAGGAACGCGCAGCTATCACACCGCGCAGCGCCAAGATGATGGCTTGTCAGGATACTGTGGGTTGCGGCGCTGTTTGCAGCTCCTCACAGATAAACAGTGGGCGCACGCGATTCCAGCAAGACTTACTGATATCCTTTACCAGGGCCCCTATAAGATCTGCAATTGCGGATCGTGCAAGTATGATACTTCTATCTGCTTCCAGGGAGGGTTTTGCACCGCTTACTACAGGTGCAAGTAGACACCACCCTGACAGTGGGCGCTCACGGAGCAATTTTCATGAGATGGGAGATGTCTACTAAAGAGATATAATATCCCTACGTTAGAAGCACCTTTTCTTCACATACGTAGGAGTACACTCGTTTAGACGTGCCTGTTGGAAAGTTTTAAGGCCAGGGCTGTCTGCCTTTGACACTTCTCAATACAACGGAGAATAATGACTTTGCCTCATCGTGCCTAGGGATCTGTTCGTGTAATGGTGTTGTTGTTAGAGTCATTGACACGGTAAACCCTTTGCTGATCATGCTTGACTTTTGCGCGCTTCAATGGCGTGATGTACCGTAGAGTTTTCAGTCGATAGGTCATTACCTACCCCAGTACTATATTCTCGTCGAACCGAGCAACTAGATCCCATGCATCTTTCCGAATAGTAGCTACACCAAGTCTCTCAAACACACCAGGACGGTCATAGGCTGGCTTGATACACAGGGCCTCCACTTGCAGCACTTTGTTAAAGTCCATCTCCGCGTGTATACCGACAAAGTCGAAAGTCACAACTCTCCCTGGAGACAATTGCGGAGGCTGATTATCGAAGAAAGCCTGACCTATTATGCTACGGTCGTCATCTCCGCGGGCGCTCAGGCACATAAAAGATCTACCATCGAAGACATGCTGTGTCACATTGAACTGTCCCCTTTGTGCTCCAATGTACAAGTATGGATCGGGGTACTCCGGCATGATTCGCTCCAAGCATTTTTCTTCGCTACACGTTTCATTGTTTATCTTGTGGGTCTGTAGATAGATTCCGCATTCTGCAATCGATACTGTCGGTGCGTCGAAAGCTATCCTTTCAGGACGATGGCGCCAGAGATCTACACCCCACCGAGAATCTGATAGGTTATCATGCTGCCACGCCATCCATGACCAAGTGGGAACTGTAGGTGATCCATCCTGGCGTAAAGGTATATTTCTTTTTCTCAAAGCATGACCCTCCGATCTCCACAGGAGCGACTGCATAGAAGTATGTACTGGATGTCCATACAGTATTTCTGTGGTGAGTGTTGTCCCGTTCTCATCAGGTCTGGTGAAGTAGCTTATAATACCCAAAAATGCCTTCGCGACATCGGCTTCGTATGAAAAATCGCGAAAAGCGAACCTTCTCACTAATTCCGAGTATCTAAGCCAGGATTTCGAGGTACTCGACGATCGACAGATAGATTGACGAAGTCTGATCATTCTCTTGGTCATAAAGTTACTTCCTTCGTATCCGAAATCCATCCCTTCTTCCATAGCATCCTGAAGACAGATTAGGGTAACGCGATCGCTGACCACTAGCGCTCTTCGGGAGAAAAATCCTTCTTGTAGAGTCCACCCTCGCGAATCCCATGGCAGCTGAGCTTTGGTGGTACGCGGACTCTCAATTCCCAGCACGTAGTTCGGATAAGCGATCAGGTCACCCGGTAGTATTCGACCGGCTGAAGAGGTTTCGTAACCAGTAAGACCACCGTCTGCGTTGTCCTTGTTTGCTACCACGATAGTCACAAATGCATTATGATAGATACAGTGCATCTGGTCCAAATAAAGACCAAGACTAGGATCATCCTGTATAATGCAGAAGCAATCTACCCACAGGTAACGAAGTTCCAAGTCTTTAGTCAGATGCATAGCATCTCTAATGGTTTGAGGGACGATGACGGCGTGTGATCCGAGAGACAGGCTTTGGGGCTTTTTCAACTGCTCCATATTTCCGGAGGTCAACTTGGTGGACTTGGCATTGCCCCAGACGTAGCTCAGAGCTACATAGGGCACGTCCGAGACAGGCATGATAGTAATGCATTCCTCGACCACGTCAATAAGATAAAGCGAGATATTCAGCTTGTTCGCTGGATCGGGTCGACAATGTTCATGTTCCAGCTCGCAAGTCTGTAACCATCGTCTTATATGTCCCATAGGAAGGTTGTTGGCCAATTTGGAGCTTGTCACTTCGGTTCGAAGCCGCTTCGGATATTCCGAGCGCCGAAATAAGTAAACGTAGTCTCTATATGGTTGGTGATCTGTTTCAGGCGAAGTCCCAAGGCGGACACCCGTAAATAGGCTCCCCATTGAGAGGAGAAGATGAACGTACTCGGCCTTCGATGCCTCTTTGTCAAGTAGGTTGAGAATATCTCTGCATGAAGGGCATGTCGTCTCTTCCCTGATATTGCCTGGATCAACTCTCAGTGATAACCTCAACTCTCTCCATTCATCTTCGATCGCAGAATTGAGAATATCATCGAAAGAATGATCCACACGTAAGCATTCTTCGCAGTACAACGTAGTTGAATGCGGTGATTGTGGAACTTGCGCTGCTACGGTTTCGTCACTCTTGTCCATGTTTATAGTGACCTGTACCTTTCATGTGTCACAATGAATCGAGGCCCTAGATACGGAATTGAAAAGTGACCCATATACGTAGGTATGATGCTTGTTTGCCGAAAATCCGCAGGTGTCTAGTAGAGGAGTGAGGTATCGCATGTTGCCCCTCTATTACTGCTTGTCAAGCGAGGACGCCTTGCGGGCGCCGGCGCATCATTCCCCCGATTGACCTAGCTTCATCGCTCTGCGATATAGACTGCACATGTCAGGTTATCATAGTTTTACGCCTAGAGTAGTGGATACATCTTCCCTAAAATGTGATCGTTGAAGAACATAGTTCCTCAAGAAACTGGATAATGGAATGAATGCTTACCTAGGTAGCCTCACCTCCAGCGGGTGCATACTTTTCCTGTCCAGGAAGGAGTTATCTAACATAGTATCATGCACCGCAAATTGAGTATCTGCTATTTGCCTATGAGCATGTGAAACTTACGTATCAATGATAACACAATATCACCCCAGCACAGGCTCAACTCGCGCAATCCATCGAGATTCTCCGAGTGTGCATCCAGCTCGAGAACGTTCTTCCACGCCATATCGCAGCACACCACATCACACCACCACACCACCACGCCTAGACCCTGCCAACCCCAAGTCTCTTCTCCCAGCCCCCTCAAAACGGCCAACTAAAGCCAGCAGCCCCGCATCCGAACCACACCATACATCTCCCTTCCTAAATGAGGGGTAGAGGCCAGGTAATCTTGCGCAAGCCTGCTGCTGCGCTGTCGATCCCGTACTGCATGTATACGGACCGATAATGCAGACTCTCTAGCCCTAGAGCGAGATCGAACCGCTCATGTTCGCTGCTTGGATTTCTGTTGAGGAGTATGAACGGCTTCGAACCAGAATACGGCAGGTTGCTGGGCGTTAGGATGCGTTTTGGAGGGGGGTGTCGCGTGTGGTGCTGCTTATTGAGGGGAAGTGTGGTGTGACGTCAGCGGTACCCATCGAAAGAAACGAGGAGCATGCTTGATGGATGGCATCCGCGTTATCGCTGTCCATCCATCGGCTGAAGTGGTTGAGATAATAGAAGCAAGGGGCGACCCCGCTGGAAAATGCAGTTTGATATCATCCTAACTGTCGAGCATAACGATCACGCGTCAGCGTTCCGTGTGGAGAGAACTCACAAAAAAGCACGTTGCACGAGGAGATGCAGGGACCGCGCACCAGTCCGCCGCGAACACTTCCAATTGGATAGGACATCTTGTACCGGCTAATTCTCCGGTACGCTTGTAAAGGGTTATTTTGGGGTGACCTAAAACAAACTATACAAGAAGCATTGCGGGAACCGCAATAATCATGGCGCAAAAGCACGGGACAGCATGACAGCATGAAGAACAGTGATGATGACAAATAGTGATCGTGAATTCGTAAACTAACTATACAGAGTGTGATTCGGGAGCCTAGCAGTTCCATCAAACTGATGCTATGCACCGAAGGGGGTATCTGTGTCTGATTTGAGCACTTCATTTCAGAACCATTGCGCCATTGCCAGCCAAAAAGCAAACGCCCATCGCAAGTACAAGATTTGAGAACAAGCGTAATCATCGTAAGCCTCACGTCATCGCTTTATACAGACGTGCGTCAAGGCGGGAGTTTACGCCCAAGTCTTGGAAGTGTTGAGACCAAGCTCGAGATGCTGTGCGATGGCGTCCGCAAAGTCGCCGCCAGCGTTTGACGAGTGACGGCGACGTTCACGACGTATTTGGTGTTCGGCTTCCATGAGGCGGCCTTGGACCCAGGCACGCTGCTTCTCGTCGTTGCGGATACATTCTGTATTCATGAGTTCGGTGAGGGTAGCGACGATTTGTTGGTTAATCTCCGCGAGCTTGTGGGATTCTTCAGTGTGCATGTCGTCGATGCTGTTGCGCGGTGTTCCGCCGGTCCTTGAGCTGACGGTAACGGGTTCACTGGCTGCGGGGAACGGCGTGGAGTACTTTGTTGGTGAGGTAGGCGATGACGAAAGAGATTGAAACTCCGGGGAAGTGGCAGCCATAGGTGCGTTGAAAGGAATCTCCATAGCCATGCGGCGCTGGAGAGCTTCTTTCTGGGCTGAGAGAAGCATGTACTTTTGCATCGACTCGTTCTAGATGAGCATGTTAGTATATGTTTAGGGGGGATGTACTTCGGAGAAACTCACTCTACATAATGTGGGTCTCGACATGGGTGCCATGGTGTAGTCTGGTGTGGTGTTGTTTGGTGCTCGTGTCGTTGGACGGGGAGGGATATTTGATTCCTGTTGATGTGGAGTTGTCGGCGTCTTGATAGAAATACCAGTTGACAATGCCAAGTGCGTAAGGTGCGTAGGTGCTAAGAGATCGGCGGAGCCCCAGAAGTGTGGGTACGTAAAAGTTCTTGGTGGTGGAACCAAGTGGAGAATTGCTGATTGATAAGGTGATGGTATCGTGAGAAACCGGTGATGGCTGAGATGCGATTGTTACGACGGATGACGGCGACAGAATATTCCAGAGTGTTGCGGTCAAGTAAAGTATGCCCACTCTGTCTGGGAAATGTCTGGCAAC